ATTGCTGGATCAAATGGTATCTCCAATTCTACCTTCTAAGGAATCACCATATTGCTTTCCACAATGGTTGTATCACTTCAGAGTCCCACCAGCAGTGTATGAGAGTCCCAATCTCTCCATATACTTGCCAGGATTTGTTACTTTCTGTCTTGTGGAACTTTGCCATTAGTGCTGGGGTGAGATGGTATCTCATTGTTGTTTTGATTTGCATCTCTCAGATGGTCAATGATCGTGAACATCTCTTCATGTATTAGCTGGCCACCTAAATATCCTCTTTGGTGAAGTGTCTATTCATGTCTTCTGCCCATTTTTCAACTGGATTGTTAATCCCTTTGCTGTTGAGGCATGGGAGTTTTCTATAAATCTTAGAGATAAGTCCCCTGCAAGATATGTAATTATCGACAAGTATGAATTTGTTGCTGTCACTTTGTTATGCGCTTTTTCGTGGTGTTGATTTCTTTGTTCCATATAATTTTCTGTGCTGAGCACATTTTGTTTATGAATCATGTTATCACTTTCTTCATTGCTATTGTTTTAGTATTTGCTAAATATTTGTGCTGGGCCTCTTTTTTATTTTGATGTGAAAGTTTATCATTTTTCTTTGCAGTTACCCTGTGATTTATACTTTTCTTACCTAATTTAGAACAGTCCGTTCTATCTTGTAGTTGTCTTGACTCCCCTGCCATTTAGAAGTTCTGTAACTATACAATTTTTCCCCCTCTTTTTGGTTTGTAATTGTCCTCATTTGTCAATTGATGTCTCTGGTTTCCTGTTTACAATCTTGTAGGCTTATTTACTTTGGATACTTCTATAACTGGGTTGGTTTCTGGGTTATGTCATCATGTGTGTTAATGGTCAGTTACTGTTTGCTATTGTTGGTTCTCTATCCAAAGGATTCCTTTAGCATCTCTTGTAAGGTTGGTCTGGTTTTAACAAATTTCCTTAATTACAGATTGTCTGGAAATGTCCTAATTTCACCATCATATCTGAGGAACAATTTTGCTGGGTATATATTCTTGCTGGAAATTTTTCTCTTTCAGGGCTTTCTTCTTGCCTGCATGGTTTCTTCTGAGAAATGTGAGCTTGGTTTTTTAGTTGCCCCTTGTAGGCAACTTTTCATTTTTCCTGTACTTCTTTCAGGATTCTTTCTTTGTCTTTGGTTTTGGTGAGTTTGATGATAATATGTCTTGGTGATTTTCTTTTGGGGTCTCTCCTGTTTGGAGGTCGTTGGACTTCTTGAATGGATATATTCTCATCTTTAATCATACCAAGAAAATTCTCTTCCAACAAATCTGCAACAATTTTTTTCTGTGTTTTTATTTCTCTCTTCCTGTTCTGGAATTCTGATGACATGTAGGTTAGTCCTTTTGATGATATCCTACATGGCCCTTAGACTTTTTTCATTTTGTTTTGATCTTTTTTCTGATTGATCACTTTCCAAAGAAGTATTGAGGTATTTGCCTTCAATCTCACTAATTCTGTCTTCCATTGATCCAATTCTACTCCTTTGCCCATTCATTGTGTTACCTATTTCTGAAAATTTAGAAATTTATAGAAATTTATAGAAAATTTAGAAATGAATAGAATTCAGAAAATTCTGGATTTCTATCTGTGGATTTTGTATCATTTCTAATTTTTCATGTTATTCTGGTATTGTCTTTTGAAATTGTTCTAGGGTTATCTCTGTTTTTTCTTCAATTTTGTCAGTGTTTTCCTTGATCTTTCTCTCAATTTGTTGAAGGTACCTAAATATAATTCTTTTAAATTCCTTATCAGAGAGTTCCAATGCTCCATCTTCCTCAGGGATGTATTTTGGGTCTGTATCCCAATCCCTTGTTTCTCCTGCTTTATCTTGTTTCTTTGTGTGGACTATGATGCTCTGTTGTCTCTGAGGCATTGTGATGTTTTTGTGTTTATATTTAATTAGTGATTGTATGTTGGAGTGATTTGCCCACAATTTTCATTTTCTTCATTTTGTTTGTATGTTATCTACATAAGCAGGATACTGTGCTATGCTGCTCTATTGTGACTTGTACACTCACCACCTGTCTCCTTTCCTATTGTCTGCTTCTCATATGTCCCTAATGTCCTTGGCATACACAGCCTCTTCTTAGGTCCCTGGAATCCAGATGAGAATGTTGTCACTTTAAAATCCAAAATGGCTGCCACTTATAAACAATCAAAATGTCTGTGCCCTCTGGACCACTAAAAGTCCACAGCTTAGGTTGTCTCTTTCCTTGATGTTTCTCTTCTTAGTCATAGGCCATCAGTGTAGTCATCTCTGCAGCCCTTGATGACCAGGGCTGATCTTTAGGTCAATTCTTAGGTCCCAACACCACTTGGAAATATTCAGGCTGTTGGTCCCGTCAGAGTAGCTGACAGTCTGCAGCTCCAACCATCTCCATGTTGTTGTTGTTGTTATGTGCCGTCGAGTCAGACCCGACCCATAGCAACCCCTCCTTGGGTTTCCAAGGCAGTATCACTATGGAAGTAGGTTGCCCCATCTTCCTTCTGAGGAGTGGCTGGTGGGTTTGAACTGCCAGGCTTCTGGTTAGCAGTCAAATGCCTTAGCCACTATGCTACCAGAGCTCCCACCATCTCCATACTCACTGTTTTTGTTCAGGTTTTTCCACCAGGTGGTGCCTAATCCACTTCTGTATACTTCCTTTCAAAGCTCAGGGCTCCAGGATTATCATCTATAACTCTGTCATTTGGTTTCTCTTTTCTTTGTTGAAGAGGGTCTGTGTAGCTTGTCTGCTATTCCTCCATCTTATCGGAAGTCTCTATTATACTTTCTTGATACTTCCATTTTACCCCTCATCCTGACTTTTGCTGAAATAACTAACTCTACTTTGTTTTGTTTCTCTAGTGATTTGGAAGTTTTATATTTTATTTCTGTGCTAATCATTGTTCCTTTATCAATTTCAACAAGCATATTTTTATTTAAACATAATTACATAACTCCTCATCCTCCAACAAGACAAAGGCTTTATTTTGCTTCATTTCCTTTGTCTTCTCTCTCTACTCCTCAGCCTTTGTTGTCACCTCTCCTTGCTAATCTTCCTCCCTTTAGTCTCTTCCCCTCCCATTCATCCTCTTCCTAGCACCAGACTAATCTTTTGAAGTGATCACACTTCCCAACTGAAAACTCTCTGCTGGCTTCCCACAGCCCTTCCAATCAAGTCCAGACTCCTTAACAGCACATAGGTGCTATTTGGCCCCTGCCACTCTTTCTAGCTTCATCTAAAAAAAATCCACTCCCCCTAAAAATATAAATATAAATAAACCAAAGATCACCCGGTTAGATGAGCGTGTTTATAAGCCCTCTGACCTGTCAGGTTGTTTCATGCCTTTGTTCTCTCATCCATTGCTGGCCATTCCAGTACTGGAGGGAGAAGGAGTTATTACAGTGCAATTCTGCATCCACCCCCATGGCTTTTCCCCAAGCATCAAGAACTGTCCTATTTATGTGGTGTTCCCATCAAGTAGTTGGAGCTTAGTAGATGGTGAGTAAATGCTTGTTCAGTGACTGAATGGAGGAGACAAGGCTCATTTCCTCTGATGGGCTGGGCTTTGTAGGGCAGGAATGGGGTAGCCTGGTGAAAACCCTCCTGAGAGGGCACACCCAGAGTGTGCTTCACATGGCTGCTTGATACAGTAAGAAAGGGACTTCAGAGCACGTTGGCTGTATTAGGCAGGGACAATTTAGTTTGATTATTAAAACAAAACAAAAACTCTGTTCAAGTGCACACACACACACACACAAAGGGGTTTGTGGTGAGGGGCTAGGTGTGTTAGAAAGCACCAATGTGTCATGGAAGCTAAGGCCCAGAAGAAAGCCAAACCACATGGGGGATCATGAGGCCTGCCCCTTTCTCTTTGGGACTACATGGCTTTTGCCATTGCTTTATTTCTCATTGCCTGTGCATTGACTTCCTGTTTTCTATAAATGTGCTTGACCACGATGCTCCAGCCCTGCCTGACTTTCTGAGGTGAGCATTCAGAGGGTGCCCAATTATAGCTCTTGGGATTGAGGCTCTGAACCCCTTAGCTTAGACCAGGTCTCCATTGGTGATCCACTCAGCCAGCTCTAGAAGGGCCCACGACTCACCTCCACTTCAGGGTTGTGCCGGCAGGGGTAGGAGTGGGGCAGACAGACAGACTAACAGCCCCCAGGTGATGGTATGTATTCAGTTTTTTTTTTCATAAGAGTATTGAGTTTAAATTAAGTTTCAGACAATGGTTGAATGTTACAATTCCATTTGTACTGAGTTAATTTTTTCTTTGCAGACCTGAAAAGCTAACCTGTGTAGAAAAGAAACATCTGTCTCATAAAGAGAAACAGACCACTGACCTAAGTCAGACTGCTTTTGAAAAGCAGTTTCATTTATCGAAGCTCAATCAGGAGAATAAAAGGGATGAGAAGAAGGGACTGGTGAGCAGAGGTCTGGGGGGGAACAGGGCTTGGACCCACAAGATACCAATATGGACTCCAAAATCCAAGCATTCCTCCTTGCTGACTGGCTCCTAAGGCACAGAGCAGGGAGTAGCCAAAGGGAATGAAAAAGGGGAGGGAGAAGGGAGCATTTATTTTACTCAGAAGAAGTGGTGGGATTGTTCTGGGCTTGGAGCGGCTGCTCAGATGGGGCACCTTTGGCAGGAAGGCCTTAGAAAGGAGAAGACAGTAGCAGTTCCCTTACAGGCTGATTCTGTGCAGCATGTGGAAACCAAAAAAAACCTAAACCTGCTGCCATCTAGTTGATTCTGACCCATGGCGACCCCCACTGGGTTTCCAAGGCTGTAAATCTTTGCAGAAGTTGATTGTTTCATCTTCTTCCCAAAGAGCAGCTGATGGGTTTGAACCACTAACCTTCTGGTTAGCAGTCAAATGCTTTACCTGCTATGCCACCAGAGCTCCTTGTAGTGTGTGGAATTGGTGGGGGAAATCCTGGAGAGTGTGGAGCTGCCCCTCTTTTTCTTGAGTTTTTGCCTGTCTGCCATTTTTGTACCATTTACTACTTATGACATCCAAGGCAGACCAAAATTTTTTTCTTCTTAATTAACAAAAAGGTCAGTGGTTTGAATCCACCAGCCACTCCTCAGAAGGAAGATTGGGCAATCTACTTCCATAGAGATACTGCCTCGGAAACCTGAAGAGGGGTTGCTGTGTGTTGAATTGACTCCAGAGCAGTGAGTTTTGTTGTTTTTAGTTTAGCTACAATATGTGAGAATTATTATTATTATTTTTTAGGAATGTACATTTTGAAAATTAGGGGCAAAATAATAGTCCAGCTATTAAAAAAGCATTTTCCCGAGCACACGTTTCTTCTCCAGAGCTCATATTTTGGCTGGCACACCTTATGGCTCAAGGTCTGAGCACATTTCTTTCTCCCTTCTCTCTTTCTCACCCTGTATCCTAAGCCCTGAGGTTTAGGACGGTTGCAGGGCAAGGCATAGGGGAGATATAGCACCCCCGTTTGGTATTTAATCAATTGATAACCTACCTTGAGTGTACAGTGGATCTTTACATTTCTCCTTTTTACCAACTACACACACACACACACACACAGTGTCAGGGACTATTCCTTCTCTCTAGCTTAAAAACATTTTTAGATATTTGTGTGACTTAACCCTATCCGATCCCATTGTTCTGCCCAGTCTCTCCAGAGTCGAAAGGATTCTCCTTATAAGTTACAACCAACCTAGAGTGTTTTCTTCTGAGCACATTAAAACTGAGAGTACAAACCCGTTGCCAAACCACCAAACCTACTGCCATCAAGTCAATTCCAACTCATAGCAACCTTATAGGACAGAATAGAACTGCCCCACAGGATTTCTAAGGCTATAAATCTTTACAGAAGCAGACTGCCTCATCTTTCTCCCATGGGGTGTGTTCAAACCACTGACCTTTTGGTTAGCAGCCGAATGCTTTAACCACTGCACCACAGAGCTCCTTCTAGAGCAGAGAGAGCCCCTTAATCAGATCTTCATGTGGCTGTAGTCAGCGCTACCCTGATGTTAGGTGGGCTAACTGCTGTTACCAGTAGATACACAAATGGATACTGCCTTAATCTTAGAAGTTTATTTTGTGCACCAGCACTGGGTGTGCCATCAAACCGGCAGGCTGTCTCTCTTTCATTCAGTCAGTCTTTCAGGACTCTGGGTAATGGGATCTCTGTCATCTTCAGAACCTGATTTCCAAGGTTGCCCTGGGGGGCTCATTCTTTTCAACCTATTAAGGGAAGAGATCATGGAGGGGTTCTGCCCTGGGGGGTGTATATGGGCCAGCCTGGAGGTGGCATGCCACTTCCTCTCATATTCCACATGGGCCATCCCTAACAGTAGTAGGGGGCGGGGGGGGGTGTGCTGGGAAAGTAGTCCCTGTCTGGTTTGTGCACCATGGCAGCTCTTTCTGCTGTACTAAAGAAAGTGAGTGCTGTGTAGATTGCAAAGATACTGAGAACTTTGAGAGTTGCAGAAAACAGTGAGAGTTGTTTAGGGACCTACTTGAAAGGTGAGTGTCTCAGCTCTGGGAGGAGGGCAGAGTGTTGGGTGGGATTGGGGGAGGAGAATTCCTCCCTGGTCCTGTAAGACCCACATCCCTACAATATATTCAGCAATTCTCTTCTGTCCATAGGTTTTAGAAGCCAGATCGCACAGACCCCGCTCCTGGGCAGCTGGGGAAAGCCGTCATCGAGGAGGTGTGCAACATGTGGAAAGAAGAGTCATGACAGCAGAGGTCCTGGCAAAGCACCTGGCCTCACTGCAGATGGGGGCCAGGCAGGGCTGGCACGAGATGTGACAGCTGTAAGGAAGGTGTTTGTAATAAAGCTTCATTGAACTTCAGCGTGCAGTCTCTAGACAACAGTTTAAAATGCTGCAAACATGTTTCCCTCTAAAAAATAATAGCTACTGTTTTTTGAGCCCCTATTGTGAACCAAGGACTCTGTAAGGTATTTTATATTCATTTAGACACATTAACAACAAGATAGTATTGTTATTCCCCCAACACAAGAAGCTCAGGGAGGTTCGGTGACTTGCCCAAGGTCAAACCCATGGCTTGAAAGTGAGTGCTCCAATTCCACTCGCTCTGGTGCCAAAGTACATGCTCATTCCACCAGGGCTCCACACAGACTTTGTAATGTTACCACATTGCTAAGAATTTGGGTCCCCTTCAGGTGGTGTTTCTCCTCTTCACCAGCCATAACATCTGATCCTGAAAAGCACTGAGGACTTCCAAAAAATTGCAATCTATTAAATTATAATTTCCAGCTCTTCTGGGACTCCTCACCAGAAGAGAGTGAAGGGTTAATAAAATTAAATCTCATGTCCTCAGCTAAAAAGGAATGTACACTCCTGAAAACAGCTAACCACCAATTTTATAATGATGAATGTTAGCAGTTCCATTCCTAATACTCCTGAAAATAAGTTAACCAACAAACCCCTTAATGACTAATGTCTAGCTCTTAACAAAATGTATTCTGAACAGAAACTACAGGGAAGAAACAAACAATAAGGGCAATGTGACCCACACAGAAAGAACAAGCCAACCTTAGGACCAGAGAAGATGACATTTTCAACTATCAATCAAAGAAACAAGGAACTCTGAAAAAATGAATAAAAGGGCCCTGACTTTTATAATCAGGGCTGCTGCTCTCTTGGACTCTGAGAGCCAGCCTTTTGCTTCTATGATTTTACTCTTTAAATAAATTTTTCTTTCCTTTTCCTCTGGCCTGGTTCCTCCTGACATCAGTCACCTAACCTTACAGGGAGGTTTCCAGGGTGTGCGGAGCACATTTGCTCAGTCCCTTCTGGGACTCTCACCTGGTCATCTAAATGTGAGCCCTCCTCTTCCCTCCCCAAGCCCTTCAGGAAACCAGGTTCACAGTGCATTCAGGAGGGAACTTGAACTCTTCAGGGGTGGATCTGTGTTCCTGATCAAGGGAGATACTGGGGCTGCTGGGCATTCTGACATTAAATAGTCTCTGCAATGTGAGGGAAGCTGTCTGACTCAGATCCTGCAGCCTCCCAGAGACTGCACTTTAGGTTGTCCTAAATCTGACAAAGGACCCTGTAGTATCTACAGATGAATGCATGGCATTAGCCACAGATCATCCTAGTGAGAATTAAAAGTCCTCACAGTTCTGTGAGAAGAACTGTTCTGTAGCTGTGGTCATAAGTAACCCAAGAACTAGTGAGCTCTGGTGGCATAGTACCTAAGGCATTTGACCTCTAACCAGAAGGCTGGCAGTTCACACCTACCAGCCAGTCACTCCTCAGAAGGAAGGTTGGGCAATCTACTTCTGTAGAGATACTGCCTTGGAAACCCAAGGGGGGGTCATCATGAGTCAGATCCGACTCGAGGGCTGTGGGAATCCATCAGTGAGAGAATGGACAAACTCCCTCTCATATTTCAGTCATGTTGTCAGAAGAGACCAGTCCCTGGAAAACGATATCATAATTTGTAAAGTAGAGGATCAGTGAAAAAGGGGAAGACCCTCAATGAGATGGACTGACGACAGTGGCTACGAGGATGGGCTCAAGCATAGCAAGGACTGTGAGGATGGCACAGGAGTGGACATTGTCTTTCTGTACACAGGGTCACTATGAGAATCAACTGGAGGGCACCTAACAACAGCAACAATCCGTTAGTGACAGCCTTTGTGCTTTTAAAGTCAGCCAGGTACAGGCAGACTCCCCACATCACCTGCACCTACCCCCATAGCTAGCACAAAACACACTTCCCAAACACTGCATAAGTCTAGCAGTTTGCTTTGTTCAAGGCCAAGTGTTCTCTTAATTAATTGGTATTTTCAGTGTGTTGGTTTCAGATATTGAGTGGTATCGCCTCCTTTGATACTAGGCTGTATTTCCTATTTGTGTTTTAACCAATCAGTGCTCAGGATTAATACTTGGGATGAATAAGTGAAAAAACTGGAATCTATTAAATTACAATTTCCAGGTCTTCTTTGCCTGGTGATGATGTTTAAACAGAAATATGGGCTATGGTGGAAGCCTTGGCACATTGAATCCTTACTGCCCCTCCAGTTGCTCTGAGAAGACCTGCTCCCTTTGGAATGAGGAGTTCTTTCAAAAAGATCTTCCTTCAGCTCTCCTTACTCATACAGGAACTTAATGTATAAGAACTTATCTTTATCAACATTCAAAGCAATTTCACATTTGAAAATTCAGAGGCTGAACAAGAAACTAACAGGTATGGGGGCAAGGGGACAGAAGGAAAGATGGGTGGTTCCGGAGCTGGGGACCTAACGGGCCTGCTGCGTGATGCTCATGCCATGTGCATTTGCTTTACTGGAACACTACCCCTGAGGCTCCTACTCAACCAGGTGAGCAGAGGTGCTAAGAAGGGTGAGTGAACATCATCCACAGATCATCCACTGTGGCCATTAAAGAAACTGAGGCCAGAAACATGAGGCAAATTTGCCAAAGTCACAGAGCAAGGCACAAGAAGAGTAATGACAAAGCTCTGGGTCTCCTGACCCCTCCTTGGTTCTTCCCACTGTCCCAGAAAGATTTGGTTTCATTATCAGCAACCTCTGGAGCTACCCTTTAAGAACTTTTCATACAGAAAGTAAATCACTCATGCATTGAGAGGAAGTTACTTTAATAAACTTATATTTTAATTTTCTCTCTGTACATATTGGCAATGATAAAGCTTAAAGATGCATGTCCTATGACATATGCAAAAACAAGGAATTTACATAAATAATTTATACTTCAGAAAATTAAAACTGAAAAATATTTTCCACATCATTAGATTTCACAGTATTTAAAGTAAATTGAACTTTCCCCTTTAGATTTCAAACTATATTGTCTCAGCAGAGAATGATAAACTCTAATCAGGAATAAAATGATCAAGTGTCTGTGTTTTATTCAGTGCAGAGTAGACACTATTTCAATATCAGGCTGCTCAAACACTGGGGCCTCAGCACTTCATCCCAATACTTCACCTCCTGAGTGGCTGTGACCCAGCAGAGGTCACATGCGTGGAATGGCTACAGCAGGACCCAAACCACTTCACAATGGACACATTCAACCAAGTGGTAATAACGCAGGTGCTCTGATGCCTCATTTCCATGTAATACTTTGTATAGCCCTGAAAATGGAAACCTTGGCATCTAAACACAGCTGAAAGTGTTAACACTAACAGAAGGCACTGTGCTATGGGGTATGGTTTATTTATAGGAAAGATCATGTTTGCATAGATTGCTAGCGATTTAGTGCGCGATAAAATAGAGTCCCAGCGTGCGTGACTTTGGGATGGATGAAGCCGCGTGAAGCTCCTTCAGCAGGGGGGCAAGCACTGCCCGTTTTCCGCCAGCTCCAACCTGTGGGCAGCTCTCCTTGCATCTCCCCAAGTCCCTACAGGAGATTTTTTTGCTCAAAAAGCTGCAGATCAAAGCGGACCCAGACCTCTCCGGTGGGGACCTCATGCAGCAGGAGTCGCCGGGTTGTAGGGCCTTTGCTTTCCTGTTCTGTTCGAATTTTTGCCACTGGTACTTCAGTACGACCCAGGAAATCTGGTAAATAAACATCACGTGAGAGTCAACTCTTTTTTTTTTTTTTTTAAAGAATAAAATTGTTAAAGAACTAACCCAAGAGATGTATCTGAAACGGGATTTATAAACCTTTCAAATCTCCTTCCATAAAAGTACTTGTTACGGTTTATGAATGTTTGATATTGCGGGTGGACATATCTAGAATGATAAGAGATTTACGTGAGAGAAACTGCTTTTTTAGACTTCAAGTCTCTAGTTAGATGGATTCAGTAGAAGCAGTGCTTACATGTGTAGCTAGTGATGGGTCAGACATCTGAGACACCTGAGAAGCCAGCCTCAGTGGGCTAAGGAAACACTATATTTCAAGTGATGTCTCCCCAGAGATCTTGACAGGGGCCTCTCCCCCTCCACCTGCTGCCTAAGTAAGATGCTGACAGTGGGGCACATGTCACTTCCCTTAGTGTCCTGGAGAGGAAATAAGGCTGGGCACTCTGGATCTAGGCCTTGGGTTCCTGAGTACTGGGGAGACCTTTAGGTCCCAGAGGCAAGTTATACTTTACCATCTGGAGAAAACTGGTCTCTGTCAAACATGGTGAGACATAGCACATCTTGGTAAAGATCCTTAATAAAGAACTGGCAGTTAAAATTCCACTTGGGATTCAGTGTGTCCTGGAGGGTTCTGGTGGTATAGCTCTGGGAGCCCATGCTGACTTCACAGTATGGATTGCTCTTTCCTGTACAGAAAGAAACCAAACACACATGTGACATGTGTAGGTAAAATGAGTGACACACAGGGCTGCCTTGGATCCAAACTGATGCTTCACTACAGATCATGGCAGTAGGAGCCCAGTCTGAGGGGCCGTCCACCCTGTAATCTAATAACACCATCTCCATGTTCCCTGCAGCAAGTGTAGGGGCTCTATGGCCAGCACTGCTCCCCGCAAGCCTGAGAGAGTGGAGTCCACCCTGCTTTTGTGCTTTCTCGACTTGGAAGCTCTCAGGAAGGCAGGCTCTGGGCCTTATCAGGGAAACAGTGATGAAAACACTGGTCCACTCAACTAGCTTATTGCCACTTAGTGGCGTTGGAATCACTCTGACCTTTTAAAAACATCCCACCATTCAGTGTTCAGAAGAGCCACCAGCAAAGAGCAGGGCAGATGCCCTGTCTGTTGAATGAAAGAAAAAGTTACCATTTGGTTTACAGGCTTTTAATTCTGTGGCTTCAATGACGTGTACCATCAGACGCCCGATGCCGGAAGTCTTCTGAGAGCGGGCTATGAAA